CCCGACGTCAACCCGTTCTCCGCCAACAAGCGAACGCAATCGGTGAAAAACAAGTTACCTTGCTGAAACCCACTCCCCCTCCACCTCTGGCACGCCCCGGCATTCGCAGCAAACAAGACCGTAGCATTACTATCAAAGGTAGATACGGTATAAGTAGGTATGAAGTGACACCAAACACAAGTATATGGACACGAAATAAACAATCCATATTTATTGGACCATAACAAACTTAACAAATTTCAATATTTCAACTAAACAATATAATACAACGACTATGTAAAACTATTGAGCTTGCTGTTTCTTCGCTGCTTCTTTCCCCCGCATAATTGCCTCCTTGAACAATCTGAAAGGATCTTGCTATCATAATGTACGGACACAAGAACTGATTTTTCGAACGAAAGAGGACTTGTGTTTGGCTTGGAGCGCATTTTGGATTTCCGCGTTAAGGGGAGCTGGTACGATGGCTGGGGGCGGGCGGCTGGTGCCAACGTCATTAGTGAAAGAGCTGTGTGGGATGTGGCTCAACGCCCTCTAGCAGCCCTTCCGCCAATGACATTGGCAGCACCCGCCCGCCCGCTGCCATCGTGCCCATTAATCATTAACTAAATAGGACTCATTTTGGCGAGACCTCTAAACTCATGTGGAGCTGCAAAATGGTACAGGTGAGCCATTTGGTTATTTTCGATTTACAATGAATACACAGGTTTTCTCTAGGCAGCCTATACAGGCTTTGCTGTGTGGTATTGTGAGCCGTGCCTCAGAAGAGTCCCTACCTCCCCTACAGTTGGTGGCTGCGACAAGATACTCTCATCATGGATAACAATCCCCAGCTTCCTCGAAGATACACTTTGAAGAGCGGCCAAGAATGTGCATTGCCCTGTGCCCCTCCGGAACAGCATTAACACTGAGATTTGCTTCTGTTCGTTAGAACCACCAACCTTAACAAGTACTCTACACTTTGTGGGCTGTCGTCGTTGGCTGGAACCAGATATGTTAGATATGCCGGATCGGAATTACTGTCCACCACGGCCACCGTTGGTATCGTCATTTTGGCGGCTTCTAGATAAAGGAAACAGTTTTAATTTTACTACATAAGTTTTTGCAATTCCTCTCATAGTTAACTCGGAACTCACCTATAATAGCAGGGTGATTAGTAGAAACTGAAGTAAGAGTATTCATGAAAATGATCGCATCCGGAAGGCGAATACTTGCACCGAAAAGCTGTCGAGTATTCGTCAACGTCCCCTCTTGCCAGCGTCGTACATGGGAATACTGCCCACACTAAAGAATGGACGACATTTTCTTGTAGAAAATCGTGAACATTTCCAACTAAAAGCGTTCAGAAAATAAGGGCGCTTTTCAAATATAGAGGGGCATTTTGGTGCAATAGCCCATTCAATTACAGAATTTGCACAAAGTCTTTTGAAGCTATTAAACGCAGTCAGGATTGCGATGGCTCGGATGGCTGAATTGGCAATTTCAGTGACACTTTTGAATTTCCTCTCCTGCAATATACCTACGACTACCAACATTACCCAGAATTTATTGGTCCAGCGGTGGTAGGTGGAGACCGAAATCTTCCGCGGGCCAAATACACCCTTTTCGATGGTCAAATACGACTCCCTGATGGGTTACGCACGATGATCCCCTGTATGTTGCCAACTTCGCTCGAACAGCGTTCCCACAATTTTTGGGCACTGTTCGGCTCAGGAGGGTATTTTACACTTTCGT